ATGCCAATACATTTAAGATATCACAAATAGAACGCAAATACGGATAGCAGATCATGTTTACATAGACAGGCTAATGAATTTTCACTTTGTTTCATTGCGAATAAATACTAAATGATTTGGGCGATCGTTTACATTTCTCGGCAATAAATTTTGTAAAAAATCCTTTAAATTTTTGTTATTACCACGAATCTGACAAAACCTAGTCCTTTCTAAAATGCGGTAACTTGTCTAATGGGAAACAGTGATTTAGAGCTGATATCCATGACAATGATAGGTAAAGAAGAGATCCCCCTCGCAAGGCAACACGTATAGTATCGGAGGCGGTCCCAAGAGAGCGCACTTCATTTGTGTCTGCGGAGAGACACGGAAACTTCATTAGCAGACACCTCGCGCCATCGATTGCAACTGTCTGTTGCCTCTGTCGTCATTGCTCTGTACACGAACCCTCTGATGTACACTAATGGAGCATGTACACGCTATCAATCTTACACTACATATAGAAATTGATAGGATTTAATGAGAATTACGTAAAACTAAACAAATTTGCATATGATCCTATCAAAGAGGTATGAAGACGTTATTATAAAGGTATGAAGATGTAATCGTAACCTAGGAAAATCAAAAGACGTGTGCAGGGAAGAAAAAACTCGTCTCAGCCCTTCCTCACCGTATAATTAAGGGTGTTGGCAATGGCCAACACCCTTAACTATATCATTATATACAGGCAAGGCAAGTGTAAACTTAACGTTACATGAGCACTTCCTTGACATTAGATTAGATTTGATTTCTCGTCGTCTAAATCTAACTGAATTCTTTATCTAACATCATTTTGAATAATTTTTAACTTAAAATAGTTGGCTCAATGTTCAGTCAACGCCATCTAGTCTTAATTTTGTTAAACTTTAAAAATTAGGAATTTAGAAATAGTGGCATCTATTGTGTAGTAGTAGAAATTCTAGTAAACTCCTATTTAATATGCTGTTCGTCACAAGATGGCGCTATACTAAATTATAAATATTTAATTTAACCGCCATCTATGGTGTAGTAGTAGAAACTTTATTAAATACATTTTAAATAAACTATTTAATACAAGATGGCGTGATAATCAATTTTCCTAATTTTGAATTTACTGCCATCTATTATCTATTAATTGAAACATAAGATTTTTTTACTATTCGCCATTAGATGGCGCTTAAAATTATTGATTTAATTAACTGCCATCTATGAAGCAGTAGCAGTAACAATATTTGTGGTCCATAAACATTTGAACTATTTAACGTTAGATGGCAGTATTTCTAAAAGTACTACTTTAAACGTTTTAGAAAATCGAGTCAAGAACACAATTTTCAATTTACTACTAGATGGCGGTAAACTTTAATTGAGTATGTATTACCTGGACTCGGTACTGATGGACTTAAAACTAGTAGAAATATAAATTTTGCGGGAGCAAGTGTATGTTCTACGGAAAAAACCTTTAAATGATGATAGATTCATTGGACATTATACAACGCTCTAATGTAAGTTATGTTTTTTGCTTTAATAAGCATATAATGCGATACTGATTATTGTAACTTAACATTGCAGGATCATAAAAGGATTATTCTTTAACTTGAAAAATAATAATCTATCTTTCAGTTGAATACCTACTGTCTTGTAGATTTCATGTTAAATTATTCTGAAATTTCTCACGGTCGAATTTATTTGCAAGTTGTACGCAGACTGCACTGCACCATTCTGAAAATTGCAAAGTCCGAAAACCATCCACTCGTAGGGTGGTTTCGTAAGTCGTTAGAAGTGGGTCGAGATTCCAAAGAGATCCGTTCACACGGCGGCCGCGCTCGAGACAAACTTGCGAAATTAAACTGTTTAGAATACACATAATAACAACGTGGCAAGGATGCTGCACCGTAGACACGACACAAAATAATAGTCAGGTTTAGGATATTGTAATGCTTAATTAACATAGAGAATTTGAATGTATGTTAACGAATGTTTCGAAAATCTATAACAGTAGAGTGCGTGTTACTTGTTGCCTTATTGCTCCTTTGTGTTAGTGCAGGGACCTCTATGGAGTTTTTAACACTGCGGTTACTCTGATCTCATTTTGATTTTTTATGGTGATTTTATTTTTAATCCATTTAGAACATAATAATAAACGTTGAATAAATTTAAAAGACGCAGAATACTTGTACCATTTCTTGACATCTTCGTGTTGAGAGAATCATCATGTCAATAGCAAGATGGGGTAATGCGTTACATAACATCAGTTATTTAGTATTAGAGGCTCGCAGGACGAGCATGGTGAAACAAAAGCCCTTACATAGCTGCTAGAAACGTACTCTCATACATTATTTACTCAAGTTGAGAAAGACGTAGGTACGTCTTTTGTAGTTAATCATGAATATAACGTAATAGTAGAAACACGATGGGAATAGAATCGGAAATTTATTTTTTATAACCTAAAGATACTTTAAATTTCCTTTACCTTTTAGATGGAATAATAAAGTCGCTATGACTCATACCAATGTATTATAAGACAGTTATCTGTCATCACTCTTTAGTAAAGAAATGCTATTTAAACAGAACAATGAATATTTTAACTATTTGATCACTGCACTGTACACCAGGTGATGTCAAGCGGTCACTCTATTCAGCAAAGAAAATAGTTTTCGATAGTTTTAATTTCAATAGCACTTTTAACTGGTTATTGAGACAGTTTAATAGACTCGATCGATTTATATGTTATTATTAAAATTGGCAATATGTTATCAGAGTAAACTTTCTTCTGCTCGCGGGCTTGAAAGCGGCCGCCGTTGGTGATTATGTAACAACCAGCTACAGAGTACAAGCAATGCTAAGGAAATATATGATGATGGATTCGAATCGTAACACATGAAGTTATCACAACTTAGGAAAACATATTGTGTCATTGTTACACAAATATCAACGTCTATATCATTTTTGGTTATGTAATTTTGAAGAATTTCAACATTTGTATTTTTGTACAATATGTAGACAATATGCAGTTTCACGTTTATTGAAATGACAAATATAGTTCTATAGTTTATTTGTAACATTGTACAATATTCACAGATAATAAATTAATCGTAATTATTAATACAGATTATTTAATCGTACATAACAATACTTCACTTACACAGATATTTCGCAATATTTCTATATAATCTTCAACATAATGCTTTCCGATCACATTTACATTTTAACATCGTCGTAAAATAAATGCCAAAATTATTAGTGAAAGTTATCAATAGTTCTAAATCGCTAACAAGCAGAGGAAAATATGGTGAAACGTGCCGACATCCTGTTTCATATTAAATATACAAAACTATGCAAATGCTTTAGAAAAAAGTTCTTTTGGACTAATTTACGTGACGAAAATACGATAAAGAAGATGACAGATTCCTTTCTAGTAAAAATCATCTTAATGTGAGTTTCCACTGGCGTCACTTTAGTACAATTGCCATCCCTTTTGTTCCCTTTGAAGGAACTGTAACAACAATACGAGTACATTTTCCAGCAAAGATTGTACTAAGCAGGTAACTTCGACCATGAACGTGAACTACACTCACACGTTGTGACGTGTACATACAGACTTCATACACACGGCGATGTTATGTGAGTTACGCAAGCGGCCGCGAGAGGGCGCGCCGAAGAAAGTCACCATTCAATATTTACTTATAAGCACGTCTCGGTACAGTCGCAAACAACAAGTGATAATGTCTTGTGCAAAATATTTGTTATTTTATTGAAGATTTTTCTACACTTTAAATTTTATGCTTTAAATAAATAATTTGAATAAATCAATACGTAAACTCCCACATATAAAACTAGTAAATTTTTGTTACAATTCACTGTTAAAGTAAAAAAAGTACTATAACATTTATGTAAGTGACAGTACCCGTAATGCTACTGACCGTCGCGGCGGGGGAGTGCCGCGGTAGGAGAGGGGACTTGCAATAATTTCTCCTCTCGTCCGAAATAGACTTTGCCGGATGTGCGGATGTAGAAATATGCCTACAGCTACAAATGTGCTTACAACATGCCCATACATTGATATATGGCCGGATGATTTTATCAGATGCTCGATTTTTTCACATGGAGAAAAATGTTGCGACATAAGAATTTTAGCGTATTATTATAAAGGGATAAAATCTTACTTTGTACTTTTAAAGGAAAAATATTTGTAATAAGCAATTAATGTGCGAAAATCTAAAATTTAGTTGTTTCGTTAAGTACAATTTCGTAGTGATTTTATAATTTTGCCTATTAATGACATTCCGATACAATTAAAACATGATTTTTACATTCAGATTTTTTACGAGATGGTAAATATCTTTCTTGGTGTTTCAACATACATAGTAAAGGAGTAATTTTCGACAAAAACATTTTATTTAAATGATGATTAGTGGCTGAGTACTGTATAAGCAATACTGCATTACAGTTTACGTAAATATTTAAATTCCTTTCTTCATGGTCTGCAACATGCAAACTTAAGAACTTGTACACTTTAGTGTTCGTATTGCAATTAATGAATTATTTATAAATGCTTTCTCATTACTTGTCCGCGGTTCAATGCCCAGTTTGGCTAAATTTTGAATAACAGTAATGTACAATATTAGTAACATATAACAAAAATGATAGTTTCGACTTAGATTCTCTAAAGAAATACTTATACAAAAGTCTTTTAATTCGATGTTAACCTACTTAGCAAGTTTAACTTATTTTTCGGTGTTTCCTAATTAATTAAAAATTACAGCATGTTCCAATATACTTAACAGTTGAAACTTGACCCACTATTTGAAAGGTGGTAATGTAAAGTTTGTAATGAACATGAAAATCACAAAGATACATAATTTTACATGTTACCAAAATATTTTACTAAATCAATACCTATTTTCTCTAACAGATTGATCATTGCTACAGACAGACAAGGTGTCTAAATGTTTATATGAGCACACCTCCACCTGCCGCGGACAGAGAATGTAGAGCCGGACCCCGACAGTCAGTCAGTACGCGTCTTTCCCCGGGGTAACACGTGCCCAAAGGTTAAACCTCTAAGCTCCAGGTTAATTCAGGTTAACCGAAAATACGTATAGTGTAACGATGAACCATTTTTGTACAAAGGAAAATGTGATTCAGTCTGCAGAGGGTTAACATTTTTTGGGTTCGTTATTTGTGTGGACGAAAGTTAAAAAAAAAGGATTTTTTTTAGTGATAACAGTGGTCGCAAAAAAGGTAAGTTTTTGTTTGTTTTTGGTTTAATTTTTTTATTATTTTATATGCTTACGGAATGTGTTTAGAAAAGTCTTGAATGAACTTGTCACAATTTAATACCTTGAAATAAATTAAGCTCGCTTTAACTTCTTGAAAGCTTAGTTGCGTTCTACATTTTAACATAAAGGTTCCTTATGGACGAAACAAAATTAATAAATTTATTACTGAAAATTATTAATTATTTATAAGAATTTATTATAATTTCAGAAGACAAATTTAATAGGAAAATTATCTGATAATTTAAACTCTCTTTTCTAAAATTCTCTTCTGTCTATGTAATATAATATGTATAGTTCTTGTAAATATCATATGTGTAATATTCTGTTACATGAGTTAAATAAATTATTATTATTATTATTAAACAAACGTTTCAAATATAGCGCCTGTCCGTAACTTCGTTCGCGTAGAGCTTGAAATTTCAAAGCCACTCCTGTAAGCAATTCCGCCGAAGGAACATTACTCAGTACAGATTTTTGGCCCTCTTAGACGTTTAGGGTACGAAGTTATTAAAATCCTATCTCTATGCTAGTCTAAGTAGTAACAGACAACTCTATGCAAAGACAACTCTATTTTAAAGTCTTTAAGTTCTGTAGTTTCGAGTGTATTTTGATACATTAGTCAGAATACCCTTCTATATAGATACATGATAAAGATAACTACATTTTTATTTAAACAGAATAAATATTGAAATACAGTTTATATAAAACAATCTTTGTTGAACGTTTTAACACCAAAGACAATACCAATCTATGTAATATTTTGAGAAGCTGCACTTCTTAGACATAATAGATTCTCTATTGTTTATATTTTCATATCTATCACCTATTATCATGACATATTTTGACTAGAAATCCGCTATATTGTAAACTATTAACACGTGTGTTTCATTTTTAAATATTTTATAATTATAATTTCTCACAATCAAATTCCACTACCGATACTAGTCATTAAAACATTTCTTGTGAGAAAATGATGGGAAGGGGAAATATCCTCTCTCGGTGCGTCTCCTCTGTTTAATAAAGTTGGTATCTGCGAATCCGGTTGTTTCTCACCAGCGGACTCTTCGCTATTACTGCGAATTCATGTGTCCACTTGCGCCTTTGCCATTTCGTTAATAATAAAAAAATAGCTCTTTTTATTCAAACAGTATTAGTTCTAGAGGTGATAAGAATGTTTCCCGTTGGGTCGATGGACCCATCGAACGTACCGCTCAAGAGCAACTTACGTTTCTTGAAAAAAAATTTAAAAAAGATTCTTTAGTTGATTTCATTATAACGTCAATCGACACTGGAATATATTATGTCTTCAAGAAAACACAATCATTGTCATTTGTCACCGCGTGGAAATCTTTAGCCACAAGACGAATTTCTCTCCCTATGTTTTCACTTGGCGATAATCTCTGTAGGTCAGTGGAGCCTCGGGGTAAAAGCGACGAGAAACTTGTGTGCTTTACTGTACGTATTTAGTTAAATGATATCTTATTTGTACAACTAATGTATTAAGAGATTTTATTTGCCTAAGAAATGTAAATTTATCTTACTTTCTAGAACTCGAAAAATAGACATTGTTCTGTCAATGAGGTACAGATGCCACATTAAAATTGTAATATTTTTCATTTTAACATCAGAACTATTGTTTACAATCTAACAATGTTGACAATTTAACGGTGACATAACTGCATTGAACTTGAGTAGAGAATCAAAACAGTTGTTTTGTTACCGTATAGTGTTTATCTTATACAAGATGGCAGTACGCCAAATGTCTCGGTCGTTAAAACTCTTACCAAGTTCAAGTCAAGGTCGAAATATGCATTGCATACATTTAATTTCATTATTTTAGTATAAGTTTTCGTCCGCGACTCCGTCCGCGTGGAATTAAAAATAAATAGTAAAAAGCCTATATGTTCTTGCAGTCTATCCGCTGTATCTATACCAAATTTTATCGAGATCCGTTCAGCAAGTTTAGGGTACAAACTCTAACAAACATCCATCCCGCTAAACTTTCGCATTTATAAAATTAGTAAAAAGTAAGATTACATTTATTTGTAGAGTAGTTAAATATTCTTATAGAAACAGTGTACGCGATAATTGAACCTGAAATAGAAAATGATATGTAACATTATTAACGGTAACATAGAATGTTTGTTCGCTGATAGAGTAAAGATTTTTAAATTTTTACTTTCATTAGATAAGAGTCTCTATTTTAATTAAGCTAAACTATGATTGAATACAATTTCTAAGTCAAATGTAACACACCCTGTATGTAGTCAAAAATTTTCGCATCATACAGGATGTGTAATATTTGATTTAGAAGTTGTATTCAATCTTAGTTATTTGTTAGATATTTATTGTGCAGTTTGCCGGCGACATTGTGTAAATTATTGCACACTGTCGCCGGATTAATGAATGGAAAGTCGCTTCTATGTAAGCTAATGCCGCACGTTGTTGTGAAACTTATACATACTTGATTTACGATCACTTCAAGTTATCTTACAATGACTTACTGACGATATATTCTGTGTTTTAATACAACACTTAACTAAAATCTTTACATTGCTTGCCAACAATAAAATGTTATTTAAAACTAAAGATCGGATATCAATCGGATAAACTGATCTAAGATCGGTTTTCTTATTCCCATTTTAATTAAACTAAATTTCGGATTTGTCAACGAAATTTCGTATAACTACTACGTAAAGAAATTCCATGTTTTATTCTTTAATGTGAAAAATAAGAAAAAGTAAGTAAGAATCATCCAGACATTTCGTAACAATGATTTACGAACACTTTTCACTCTGACATCCTGTAATAAAACACAATAATATACTAAAAGTTAAAGTTCAAAGTTAGTCATAAAACATCGATCTCTACTACATCAGACCGGTTAGTCATTATCGACCACCGACCACATTGACCACGGTAACTACGCTGACCACGCTGACCACTCGGACCACCGCAGTCGCCGCTGACCGCTGACCACTTTCACTGAGATGAAGAAAGTTGTCAACTGATTAGAGTGTCGCAGAGAAATCCGGAACCATTTGATAAATGATAATAAACATAAAGCCAGTGTCAATTGACGTCTCGTAATATTGACGGTGAAATGCAGGATTTGTGTGCTCAAGGAATAGTGTCGTAATATTATGTAAATTTATTTGTGCAAATATTACAAACATTATACATGCAAAATATACATAAAAGACTTAAGAGTTTTTCTAATTATAGCTACTATTGAATAAATGGATTATATTTTAATAGATATATTAACAGTATAACTATAATAAAATTATAAAAGTTTCGCCGTTTATTTAGTCAAATGTAAATTTGTCAATTTAGTCAAATCCCGTCCTAGACTGTTTGCTAAGCATATCAAAGCAAATCTTTAGGAGACATGAATATATTACGTGACGATGTCGAGTTAGTGTCGTTACGTGTCGGTGTCGTATCGTGTACGTGACGGACGGTGGTCGCGGTGTCAATGCTCGGTGGCGTGCTCGCGCTCTCCGCTACACCTGCTTTGTGGCGCACTGGGACGACTGTTTTCATTCGCTACTCCGTTACGTCTTTGCTTATAGTTGTAGATATCTAGGAGTTAGATGTGATGGATATTTATCAATTCCATCACGATGGACATAGAACAATAGATCTAACCTTTCATATATTTTATTATAAAAATTCCGAACGGTTGTCGATCTGTTTAGTAGTTAGTTACTGTATCATAGTAAGTAATACTTGGATAAAACAAATGACCTGCTTTTTTAATCGATTTACCGACACATTCAAAATTATTATTTTATCACTAACTTACACTAGGGACCGACATTAATTTCGAGATGAATTAATTACAACATGTTAATAATTAATTATAACGTAACGTATGTGTGTTGTCGTGTCGTATAACAATGGGCAGTGGCACAGCGCGTGGTTCCGCCTGCCGCGCTCCGCTCCACATCTGGAGCTCGGATTTCTCTCGCGTCTCGCAGCGGGATCGAATCCTACGATGCTATTGTTGCGGTTTTTAACATTTCATATATCAATATTTTCTATAAGTATGTCTCTAAAGTGCACATTGTGTATTGTAAATTAGTATGAATGGTAAATTAAGTTCTTACATATGAAAAAAACTATGACAACTTCAAAACATTTCAAACAGAAGAAAATCGTACTACGATTGATTCGTATATCGTCAGATAAATTTTTTTAAACATCACTATAATATTTTTTAAGCAAATAATTTCCGAAGTTTGTAAGTGTTGTAATTTAAAATATTTAGAATACAGGAAAACAGTTATTAATAAAATTAACTGACCTTTTCAAATAGTAAAGCAATTTGTTATATCCTGAACTACAGGATATAATAATAACTTCGATATCTGAATATCCGACAGAATTGCACTGAGAGAACGATTAATATTTTATTGAAATTACAGTTTATTGAAATTTTACCAAACTAAAAATGAATAAGTGGTAATTAAAGTGCTAAAAACTAAAAAAAACAGATTACGGTCATATCTATATCATAATTGCCCTATAAAAGCATGACATTAATAAAATTAAATAAAATACGGATTGATTATTAAAAATAAATTACTCTTAAATGTCACTGGAGCAATATTACACTAATTGCCAGTAAAGTATTATTACAAGGATTTCTGCAATCAACAAAATTACGATTCGATTTAAATATTTATCTCAAATTAACTCAGATATTTGCCATAATTATTATTTTCCCGTTAACGCTACCATCTTTCTATTTACAACAGATTTCATCGGAACGTTCAATTAATTTGGGAAATCTAACAACAGGAGGTATTTATTTCTTATAATAGAGGAAACTTCCGACATTGAATCTCATACAAAGCATGCCAATAAATATTTTTTCTGCTAGTTAGAACCCAGCCCAATACTACTAATTTTAAAGGATTTATAACTGAGTAAATGCACAACAAATCGTATCGAGTC